CTTCATGTAATCCACAGATATTATGAAGCAATAAACAGACTCATGCTGATACTGTATTAATAACAAGCTTCTCCTTGGCATCAAATACGTACATGAGGGAAACTGAGTGACTTTTCCAGTTACCATCCTAACATCTGCATCTGACTGTGAAGGAGAATCCACTAACACTGGCCGTACCCTTTGTGAATCTATGTTATTTCTTAGGCCCAAAATCTTTTTTCGAAGACTTGCATTTGGGGAAGACAGAGTTACTCTTTTGAAAAATTGTGTGGACTACACTTTAGAAATCACTTTGAATGGAAAAATTAGGTTTTCAAGGACGGTACCTACCTGTAAAATTTCACAGTCCTGGTGCAAAACACTTCTCCCTAGGGAAACTATCAAACTGAAGCTGATTAACAGTACTTCTTAAAATGTAAATGCATCTTAACAAGGTTTTTTTTTTTTTCTTTCTTTTTTTGGACGGAGTTTTGCTCTTGTTGCCCAGGCTGGAGTGCAATGGCGTGATCTTGGCTCACTGAAATATCTGCCTCCTGGGTTCAAGTGATTCTCTTGCCTCAGCCTCCTGAGTAGCTAGGATTACAGGCACCAGGCACCTGCCACCACGCTCGGCTAATTTTTTGTGTTTTTAGTAGAGACAGGGTTTCACTTTATTGGTCAGGCTGGTCTGAAACTTCTGACCTCAGGTGATTCACCTGCCTCGGCCTCCCAGAGTGCTAGGATTACAGGTGTGAGCCACTGAGCTTAGCCAACAAGGTCCTTTGTATGCACAATTCTGATTTAGTGGATTTAGGGTAAGGTCTGAGACTCTGTATTTCTAACAAGCTCCAGCTGATGCTATTGCTACTAGTCTGGGGATTATCCTGAAGTGCAAGGTGATGGACAGTCATTAGAGAGACCAGGCAGAATTCAGAGGCTAGATACGGGACAGCAAACTAGGCACTGAGCCTTCAGAGTCTCCCGAGTTTTGTTCTTTTCTTTTTTTGAGATGGAGTCTCGCTCTATCACCAGGCTAGAGTGCAATGGCATGATCCCGGCTTACTGCAACTTCTGTTTTCCGGTTTCAAGCAATTCTCCTGCCTCAGCCTCCCGAGTAGCTGGGATTACAGGCATGCACCATCACGCCAGACTAATTTTTTTTTGGTATTTTTCGTAGAGATGGGGTTTCACCATGTTGGCCAGGATGGTCTTGACCTCTTGACCTCGTGATTCATCAGCTTTGGCCTCCCAAAGTGTTGAGATTACAGGTGTGAGCCACCGCACCCGGCCCAGAGTTTTGTTTTTTAAGATGCAATCTAGCCACCTTTTTTCCCCCCCAAATTAAAACGTAGGTTTAATGCAATTCCAACTATCATGCCAAAAGGATTACTTTGTAAATAGACTAAATTATTTCAAGGTTATTCTAGAATAGGCAAAAACAACAACAAAAATGAATGTGGGAAGGGATGGGAGGTAACAGCAAGGGGAGTAAAATTATGTGATTAAGGAGGCATCAAGCATCATTAGGAAAGGAAATAAACAGTGGAGAACTGTTTAGCTATTTGGCAAAATGAACAGACAAAAAAGCTCAAAACAAAAAAGAAGCTAATTTAGATCCTCACCTCATAATACGCCTCTCCTTCCAATGAATTCTAGATGAATGAACCTTAAAACATCAAGAAAAACACAAAACCCCTACAAGAGAAGTGAATGTTTAACAAACCCAGGGGTGAAGATTAAACTTAGAATTGGAAGAAACAAAAGGAAAAAAAATTGATAGCTGACATTCTGTGCATGTGTATCCTCTGTATTTAAAAATAACACTAAAAGGCCAACCAGGAAAATGTTCATGTTATGACAACTTAATAGGAAAATAAGTACATCAAACCTAGAGTCTTCAAAAGACAACACAACAGTGTGTTCTGAACTTGCAGGATCCAGATCCCATCCCCTTTGCTTTTCCCCTAGTGGTTTATTCTCATCAATGTACATTCAAGTCTTTCACATTAAAATTAACAAGAACCTGAGCCCTCACCATGTCCTTCCTCAGCTAACTGTTTGCTTATTATTACAGCAAATCTTTTCCAAAGTCTTCATTCCCGCTTCCTCACCTTCCTCTCCTTTTTCACAGTGCTCCAATCTGGCATCTGCCCCACCACTCCATTAAAATAGCTCTCATCAAAACTCCAAACTTCATCTCACGCCAGTTCTCAATCAGTGCCCAATTCGGCCCACTCATCCCTGTGAAACACTTCCTCCTTTGGCTTTTCTCCCTCCAACCGCAGTGGCTATTTTCTTCTTAGCTGCCTTTGTTGGTGTCTCTTCTACCAAAACTCCAAATCGACACGGTACAAAAGGTGGCCCATTAGTCAGGTCACTACAGAGTCCTTGAAACATGGCTAGTCTGTGAGATGTGCTATAAAATTAAAATATGCATTTGACTTTGAAGACGATTTCTTTTGAAGACTTAGTACATGTTGAAAGCATAGTGTTTTGCATAGACAGGGTTAAACAAAAGAAATTAAATTCACCTGTTTCATTTGACTTTCCTATTAATGTGGCTAGAAAAAATGTAAGCCCATTATCTGTGGCTCCCATTAGATTTCTATTGGCTAGTGCTGTTCTAAATGTTGGTGGTGTCCTCGAGTTCCGTCTTGCTCCTCCTCAGACTTGCCATCATGGAAACAGTAACATTATCCATGCACTGGCTCATATTAGAGGAACAGAAAAGTAGACAGCAGTATTTTCAGACAATGGGAGTGTCCACAGAGCAGGATTCCCAGGGTTCCTATACATTGGATTGCTTTGAGGAATGTACCCCTGCCCGTTGTGGTTTTTAGTTTCTCCTTTTGACTGTATCTAAAGGAATTTAAGAAACCCTCCCCATCTGGCTCTCGTTTTTCCCATAGTTTGTAATGGTAAAGACGTATGCAAGTTCCCAAACTCTTTCAGGCCCTAGAATTCTAGTCATGTTTGAGGACAATGCAAGCACTGTTTCTCTAAAGACTCATCTAACAAATATGCTGCCTCTGACCACGCCAGTTCCATCAATTCAACAGAAGAGACCGAAATCTGGCACCAGGAACTTTGCAACAAAATCTGTCCCAGTTGTTATACAAAAAAACTGAAGTTGGGAAAGCAAAAGACTTGATTTCATTCATATCTTAAAAACAATAGGGTTTTGGAAAAGATATACATGTAAGTCAAGATTCAGTATTTAAAGTTAAAACTCATGAAGCATCAAAACTACTAACCATTCTATAAGCACTCCTTTCAAGACGTTGACCATCTTTTCTCAGTCAGAAGGTTCAGATGACCTCAAGAATGCTAATAAAAAGAAAAAGGTGACATTAAATTAAAAATCATTAACTTTATTTTGGGGATGCGCCTCTGAAATGAGGCAACATATTAAACATCAATATTTAACAGTTAAGTCTATGAAAGACAGTTAACATCAAAGAAAAGAGACATACTGATTTTTTAACAAAACTAAAATGAGTCTACTTGGAATATTAATGCCACGTCTTACTTGCTAACCATTCTACCCACGGTCAATTAGCTCTAATAGAAGCAAGCGGCCTAACTCTCCACCAGTGTACCCAACCCAGGTGTAAACCATCCAGTAATCAAAGGATTTCTTTTCCCATTCAGGAGAATGACAAAAGGTAAGATCCTGAAAAACAGGAATCAAAGATAGTTCTGAAAGGTGCTTCAGAAATTACAGTGAGCCCAACCACCTCATTTTATTGAGACAGGGTCTGGCTCTGCCGCCCAGGCTGGAGTACAGTGGCGCGATCTCAGCTCCCTGCAACCTCCGCCCCCCGGGTTCAAGCGATCCTCCCATCAGCATCCCAAGTAGCTGGGACTACGGGCATGAGCCACCAAGCCTGGTTAATTTACCGTATTGTCCTTGCCAACACAGTGAAATCCCGTCTTTACTAAAACATAAAAAATTAGCTGGGCGTGGTGGCACGCGTCTGTAGTCCCAGCTACTCGGGAGGCTGAGGCAGGAGAATTGTTTGAAGCCGGGAGGCGGAGGTTGTAGTGAGCGGAGATCGCTCCACTGCACTCCAGCCTGGCGCCTGGCGACAGAGCGAGACTGTCTCAAAAAAAAAAAAAAAAAAAAAAAAAATTACTGTATTGTGTGTGTGTATATACATACATATATATAATCTATTTTTTTTGTGACTCAGTCTCGCTCTATCGCCCAGAGTGGAGTGATCTCGGCTCACTACAATCACTGCCCCCGGGTTCAAGCGATTTCAGGCTGGTCACGAACTCCTGATCTCAAATGATCCACCTACCTCGGCCTCACAAAGTGCTGGGATTACAGGTGTGAGCCACCGCGCCCGGCCAATTTATTGTATTTTTAGTGGAGCCGGGGTTTCACCATGTTGGCCAGGCTGGTCTCGAACTCCTGGCCTCAAGTGATTCGCCTGCTTCGGTTTCCCAAAGTGTTGGGACTGCAGGTGTGAGCCACCGCACCAGGACCCAACCGCCTCATTTTACAGATGAGGAGACTAAAGGAAGAGATTAAGTCGTAGTTCCCGGGAAAGAAAAAAAAAAAAAAAAAAAGGACAAGCCAGATCTCGTGGTCCTTCATTAAATAAACCACGTCCCCCGCGGACCTAGGCTGGAAGGAAACCACTCAGCGTCCCCCACTTACATCTGGGTGCAGGGCTAGCTGCCCCACAGGAAACCCACGATTAAAAATGATTGCTGGATTGGCATGCAGCTCCGCCAGGAAGTGCCCGGAGAGAGTGCGGGACACCGCCCTGTGCCCCCAGCACCCGTTGGACACGCTTCTGGGGCTTTTCCCTTCTTCCTCTCTCTCTCTGGGACCTCTCAGTCTTCCCGCACCCCACCATCCCCAGCCGCTCCGACGCTCGCCACACACCTCGGCACACGGATGCAGAAGCGCCTCAGCGTCGCCGACAGAGTGCGCCTGCGCCTTACGTCATCGCGCTAGGGACGCTGTTGTGGGTGGAGCGAGCCGGCGGGAGGCGGGCCCGGAGCCGGCCGAGGGGGCGGGGTCGTGAACCGGCAGCCGCCGGGTGGAGGGCCCTGGTCGGCGACTGCGGAGAGGGCTCACCGCCGACGGGGTCCAGCGAGCTGTTGGGGACAGGCCGAGTCCACGTGCCGGCAGGTAGGACGTGGAGGCCGGGCTGGTGTGGGGCCGACAGGGGCGTCGGCATAGCTGGGCGCGGTGGGGAGTGGAGAGAAGGGAGGGCGGGGGCCTGGCACGGCCCGGCACCACCGTGAGGCGCGCGGACCCGACCGACCCGCCCACGCTCCGCAGGGCGCGAGGGCCTCTCTCTGGTCGTCGCGAGCCTGACTCGTCTTTCCTGGTCGCAGCCTTACTTTGGCTGCTGTCGAAGCCTCGGCGAGTGCACCTGCCGGTAGGTCTTACCGGGCTCGGTAGTCACGGAGAGATAATGAGGACGAGTAGGAAACGGTCTCACCGGTCACATCTGAGCCTTCCCGACCACCGCTTCCTGCTCCCTCTCTAACCCCATAGATTGAACAGATTGAATGCCGTGACATCTCTAAACTCGGCAACGGTCATTTTAAAGTGAAAGACCCCAGAAGGTTCTAAAGTTACTCTCTTACCCCAAATCTGTTCTGTAGTAAAAAAGGAACACTCTCATTATTTTTACTAGTTGAGGTATGAAGTTCTTGTTTCTGTTCCTTAGGTTAAATTGTATTTCCGCAATTAAGCTCACGCTGCTTTTTTTTTTTTTTTTTTTTTTCCTTTTCTTTTTGAAGATGGTCTGTCGGTCAGGCTGGAATGCATTGTTGCGATCTGGGCTCACTGCATCCTTGGTCCCCTGGGTTCAAGCAGTTCTCCTGCCTCAGTCTTTGTAGTAGCTGGGATTGCAGGCGTGTGCCACCACGCCCGGCTAATTTTTTAATTCTCAGTAGAGACAGAGTTTCGCCATATTGGCCAGGCTGGTCTGGAACTCCTGACATCAGGTGATCCGCCTGCCTTGGCCTCCCAAAGTGCTGGGATTACAGGCGTGAGCCACTGTGCCCAGCCTCATGCTGCTTATTTATTTATTTATTTTTTAACATTGTGTTTATTCATGTGATCTCTTGGGAACCCAGCTCTTCCATTTAGTTCCCTCTTTCTGTCCCTCAAATATTTTCCAGCTGGTGATTTCTGTATTGTTGCACTCTTTACAATAAAAAAATTGCCTCCAAGTCTTCTTCTTCCCAAGAATCTTTTATTTGCTTTTTTTTTTTCTATCTTGCAATACATTCTCTTCCTTGATCTCTTCATCAGTTCCATTTTTGTGCACCTGATGTGTACCAGCTATTCTAGGCACTTGGGGTACAATGATGAACAAGTAACTAATTTTGGTGGGGGCAGAGAGACACTGAAATCAGTTAAGGAGAACATACCATTTGATGATGTGATAAAGAGTAACTAGAAGTCTTATTTTGGCCAGGGGGATGTCAGAAATGACCTTCAGGAAGAACTCTGCATTTAAAAACCCTCTATATGCCAGTAACAACTAGGAGTTTTAATAATAAAAAGACACTATTCATAATGACATTCACAACTAAAGTTGTCTAGAAACAGATCTATCTAAACTCTGTGGCCCTTTAAACAGAAAAGTATAAGTTTCTGTTGGAACACAGGATGACCCAAGTAAATGGTGAGATATACCATATTCATGGATGGAAAGACTCAAAAAGAAGATACCAGTTTTGCCAATTTCTGTGAATTTAGTGTGATGCCAATTGAAATCACTGTAGGGTTTTATGGAACTTGACATGCTGAACTTAAAATTTACATGGAAAGGCAAAGGACCAAAAATGGGGAAGTCAGTTTTGAAGGAGAAGAAAAATAAGGTCTCTCCACATCAGATACCAAAGCTTAATATGAAGTTGTAATTATTAAGATGGTGTGGTATTGATTCAGGGATAGAGAAGTAGATTCATGGAGCAGAATAGAGAAACTAGAAACATACCTATTTACATATGGGAACTTAGTATACCACTGAGTGGTTTTGCAAAGCAGGGGGAAAGCATAGACTATTCAATAAAGGATGGTTAGATATGTGAGATATGTGGCATCATTATGGAATACAGCAGATAGGATTAGATTCTTGCTTTCAAACTATTGACAACAGTAGTTTCCAGATAGATTAAAAGACCTAAATGTGAATGGCACAGCTGCAAGATATTTGAAAGGAAATAGAAGAGACCATTGTCTCTGTGAAAGATTTCTTTTTTGTTTGCATGTTAAATTTTGTTACACATAAGATTCATCATGTTGGCCGGGCGCGGTGGCTCAAGCTTGGAATCCCAGCACTTTGGGAGGCCGAGGCGGGTGGATCACGAGGTCGAGAGATCGAGACCATCCTGGTCAACATGGTGAAACCCCGTCTCTACTAAAAATACAAAAAATTAGCTGGGCATGGTGGCACGTGCCTGTAATCCCAGCTACTCAGGAGGCTGAGGCAGGAGAATTGCCTGAACCCAGGAGGCGGAGGTTGCGGTGAGCCGAGATCACGCCATTGCACTCCAGCCTGGGTAACAAGAGTGAAAACTCCGTCTCAAAAAAAAAAAAAAAAAAAAAGATTCATCATGTTAACCATTGTAAGATGTTGAGTTTGGTGACATTCACATTGTGCAACCAGCACTACTATCACCCAAACTTTTTTTTTTTTTTTGAGACAGAGTTTTGCTCGTTACCCAGGCTGGAGTGCAATGGTGCGATCTTGACTCACCGCAGCCTCCGACTCCTGGGTTCAAACAATTCTCCTGCCTCAGCCTCCTGAGTAGCTGGGATTACAGGCACGTGCCACCATGCCCAGCTAATTTTTTGTATTTTTAGTAGCGACGAGGTTTCACCATGTTGACCAGGATGGTCTCGATCTCTTGACCTCGTGATCCACCCGCCTCAGCCTCCCAAAGTGCTGGGATTACAGGCTTGAGCCACTGCGCCCGGCCCCAAACTTTTTTTAAAAAAATCTTTCTGAGGACAATTTCTTAAGTTACAGAAAGCACCATTGAGGTGACATTTTATTACTCCAAATGAAAGATGAAGGTGGCTTGAGCTAGACAAGAGTGTAGCAGTGAATACAGAGAAAAGTGGATGGATTTGGGGGTATGTTTTGATGTAAGAGAAGAGGAATTATGCATGATTTGAATGTAGGGTAAGGGGAAAACAAGGAATCAAGAGCAACATCTGTTTTTTTGCTTAAGAGGAAGATTACCATTTACAATAAAAAAGCATTGACCGTTTGGTGGATGGTGATGGAGAAGATTTGTGGAGGAAGAGTTTGGGGAGAAAAAGAATTCTGTTTTGGACCGTTAAGTATGAAAAGCCTATTGGACATCCAAGTGGAAATGTTCCAACAGCTGTTGGATAGATGGGTCAGGAAAGACTGTAGCTAGAGGTACTCAGATCACTGGCATATAGATATTAAAAACTGTGATGTGGACTGGGTGTGGTGGCTCACGCCTGTAATCCCAGCACTTTGGGAGGCCAAGGTGGGTGGATCACGAGGTCAGGAGATTGAGACCATCCTGGCTAACACGGTGAAACCCTGTCTCTACTAAAAATACAAAAAATTAGCTGGGTATGGTGGCGTACACCTGTAATCCCAGACACTCGGGAGGCTGAGGGAGGAGAATCGCTTGAACCCAGGAGGCGGAGGTTGCAGTGAGCTGAAATTGTGCCACTGCACTCCAGCCTGGGCGACAGAGACTCCATCTCAAGAAAAAAAAAAGAACTTTTGAATATTTGTGTTAGAATTAGATTCAGCTATATTACACAGCAAACAAGATAATATTGGCTTAAATATGTATATGATTGCATAGGTAGGCAGCCTCGCTTTTATGGCAGCAGCTCTGTAATCATCAGGGACTCAAATTCTTCTATCTGGCTGCTCTACCGTCCTTAATATGATGCTTCATGGTAGGATGACTGCTTTAATTCGAACTGACAGTTACTCATTCTAGCAAGATGGAGGAGGGAAGGAGAAAGAAAGGCACATAGCCTTCTTTTTAAGGATGCTTTTGAGAAATTGCATATGACACATCCACTCATATTTCATTAGCCAGTGTTAGTAAGTGCCCACAGTTAACCAGAAAGAAAGATGATGTAGTCTTTTTTGTTATCTGTGTACCCAGCGACAATTCAGGTTTTATCAATCAGAATGAAAGGATGAAATGATGTTTCAGTCTGGCTGCTGCTTCTACCAGGGCAACAAAGCTTCTGTTATGAAGATCCCAGTGACCTCCATAGTGTTAAATTTAATGGAATTTTCGAATATTTGATTTTTAAATTATCTCTTCCTTTTTACTTTCTCTTTCTTAGTCTCCTCAAAATTTCTCCTCTGTTCTCTACTTAAAATCAGTGTTTCAGATTTTATGTAATCACAATCATAGTCTTAAAGGTGCTTTTAAATAGAAATTGACATGCAGACTCTAAAATTATGTGGAAGTGCCAAGGACCTACAGTAGTCCATGTTGAAAAGGAAGGGCCTAGCTGGAGAATTTAATGCTACTAGCTTCAAGATTTACTTTAAAACTGCGGTAATCTAAACAGGGAAGTATTTATATAGGATAGATAAATAGATTGATGGAGTGGAATAGCTCCATATTTATAAATTCCATGAGGGTTTTTTTTTTTTTTTTTGAGACGGAGTTTCGTTCTTGTTACCCAGGCTGGAGTGCAATGGTGCGATTTCGGCTCACCGCAACCTCCGCCTCCTGGGTTCAGGCAATTCTCCTGCCTCAGCCTCCTGAGTAGCTGGGATTACAGGCATGCGCCACCATGCCCAGCTAATTTTTTGTATTTTTAGTAGAGACGGGGTTTCACCATGTTGACCAGGATGGTCTCGATCTCTTAACCTTGTGATCCACCTGCTTCAGCCTCCCAAAGTGCTGGGATTACAGGCTTGTGCCACCGCGCCCGGCCTGCCCCCCCCCCTTTTTTTTTGAGCTTTTAGTCTCACTATGTTGCTTAGGCTGGTGTTGGGCTCCTGAGCTCAACCAGTCCTCCTGCCTCAGGCTTCTGAGTAGCTGGGATTACAGACATATGCCATAGATATAGTCAGTTGATTGGTGTGCTCAAGCAATCATCCCACCTTGGCCTCCCAGAGCCACCCTGCCCGGCCTGGAGTGTCACCA